TTAAATGTCTATTTAAATGTCTGAAATCTCAAAAAAACATTATGTGGTTGAAAACACTGAATAGTTTGTGATATATCAAGTCAAGTCAAGTCATATATGAAAAGCGCTGAGCACGTCAGTCTCTGGCTCAGCGCCAGCAAAGTGCAAAAGGACACTGGTGTGATCGTACTCGTCAAATGGTTAAAATCAACCCAGTTTCGGGGGTGGAAGGGGAACAAATTGCCGTGTGGTGCTGGCCCTGCTTTTGGCCATGGCTGTAGAATAATTTCTGAAGGATCATGTGACACTGAAGACTGGAGTCTTCAGCAAAGACCATGAGGACCAAGTCCTCTGCACAGAAACCCTATGGCCAGCTTCAACTTCTCCTTCCTTCATATGCCGGCATGATGTATCACGATTTTCAAGCAGGAAATGCTTGAAATATTCTGAATGATATCAAACCACAATCTCACTCGTAATGCAGCCTTGAATCATAATAACTCCGTGTTCATTCGTTTGGCCAGAGGAGAACTGGCCCCATGAGCCTGGTTTCTCCCGAGGGTTTTTACTCCTTTTCTGTCACCGATTGAGTTTGGGTTCTTTGCCACTGTCGCCACTGGCTTGCTTAGTTGGGGACACTTAATATTCAGCAATATTGTTGATTTGACTGTACAGACACTATTGGATGAGAACTGAAATGAGCTAGATGATGACACTGGTGCTTTCTCCAGAGCTGCTTTATAGATGAATTGAACTCATTTGATATTTGATGAAGTTTGCAGAGTTATTGAACTGAACCAAATCAACACTGAACTGAATATCGTCTTTTTAGAGCTGCTTAACTGCAGAATTGAATTAATTATCTTCCTGTTCACCACAGTAAAACTGCTTTGATACAATCTGCATTGTATAAAGCGCTATAGAAATAAAGGTGATTTGACTTGGCTGCTGAAAATTCATCTTTGCCATCACAGGAATAAATTACATCTTAAAATATTATCAAATATAGTTTAAATTGTAATAATATTTCACAATATTACTGTTTTTACTGCGTTTTAAATCAAATATAATTATTTTACTAAATTATCTATATTATATCTGTCACAGCGTGGTGCAGGCAGAAGAAGACGAAAAGGCAAGAGCTCCAATGCAATTACTTTTGCTTACAAAAGAAACTTCAGGCAGGTACAGACAGACAGGATAACACACGCTAAATACGACTAACTACAGACAAAGGACTGACTGAACTGAAGGAACTAAATACAAACTGATGAACTGAAACAGGTGACACAGCTGAGGATAATTAACAAGACACAGGTGACAACGATGATGACAGGCAGGTGCGAAAACATGAGGGATACTGGGAAGTGTAGTGAAGAGGCGGAGACAAGACAGACTGTGACATTACACCCCCCTTCCGGTAGGCGCGTCCTCGCGCCGTAGAAGGACCGACAGCAGAGGGAGAGAGGGACCAGGGCGGATCAGGCAGTGCGGGCAGCCAGGGCAGAGACGACGGAGGGAGGAGCCATGGAGGGGACAGGGCAGAAGACTCCAGGGGGCCGACTGATGGGGGCAGAGCAGGTGGGAGAGAAGACCGGGTGGAGCCGTAGAGCAGACGAGACCGGGTGATGCTGAGGGACATGGTGACACCGAAGGCTCAGGCGACTGAAGTGTCGACAGGGACACAGAAGGACACGGTGGAGACAGAGGGAGTGAGGACCAAAGGAAAACTGAGGGGAGTGAGGAGTCCAACAGAGCTGAGGGGACGAAGCGTAGCCAGAGGAGAGGAGTCCAGAGGTGAGGGAAGGCCGACGAAGGACAAAAGTGAACCCGGGGGGACGAGGGAGCCTGGTGGAACTGGGGGACTGAGGGCCCATGGTGGAGCTGAGGGAGGTAAGAGCTGAGGTGGAACAGATGGAATGAAGGGCCGAGGTAGAGTCCTGGTTGAGGAGGTTGGAGGCAGAGACCGGGGATCCACCGACCCTGAAGGCGTTGGTGGCAGGCAGATCCTCGGCGACTCCACCTCCTCAAGGGTATATACAGGAGCAGAGGGGCTGCCAGGCAGTGGTGGAGGAAAGGTAGAGAGGCAGATGGAAGGAGGTGGGAGAGGGAGGCTGGGTGGGAATTCAGGCTCGGGAACAGTAGGCTCAGTTTCGGGGAGGCAGACGTGGAGCGCAGGCTCGGCGTGGCTGACGTGAAGCCCAGGCTCTGTGCTGGACGGGACCAGCGGTGAAGCCTCTGTGCTGGACGGGACCAGCGGTGAAGCCTCTGTGCTGGACGGGACCAGCGGTAAAGGCTCTGCCATCTTGGCTGGAGACAAGGGTTTAGGCAGGATGTGGAGAATGGGCTGGTCCAGAATGTGTAGATCCCCTAAAGGAGTGGTCTTGGCAGGACTGGCAGGTTGTGTTCCAGATCGGGGATCGACGCTCTCCAGACACCGGATAACGGTCTCCCTCCAGCTGAGTCCAGTGGTGTCTGGAAGGACGATCCGGTGGTGAAAGATGGCCACGAGCTGGAACAAGGTACACAACCTCTCGTCGTCAAGGGTGCTGTGGATGGCAATGCGGACAAACCCCTTGACCAACGAGAGGAAGTGTTGGCTTTTCTCAGTCAGGACGATAATTTTTACCCCATCGTCCATCTTAGGGCGGTCTGTAGTCCTGTCACAGCGTGGTGCAGGCAAAAGAAGACGAAAAGGCAAGAACTCCAATGCAATTACTTTTACTCACAAAGAAACTTCAGGCAGGTACAGACAGGCAGGATAACACACGCTAAATACGAATAACTACAGACAAAGGACTGACTGAACTGAAGGAACTAAATACAAACACTGATGAACTGAAACAGGTGACACAGATGATGATAATTAACAAGACACAGGTGACAACGATGATGACAGGCAGGTGCGAAAACATGAGGGATGCTGGGAAGTGTAGTGAAGAGGCGGAGACAAGACAGACTGTGACAATATCTTATCCAGTAACCACATATGGAAACATATAACATATAACACAGTTAAACTATTACCGCATGTCAAAGGTTCAGAAAAACTGGGTGTGTAAACAAATGTGCAACAAATAGCGACCATACAGACAGATCTAAATATAGAATGTCCTGAAATGAATACAGTTCACTGTCTGGGAAAAAGATGAGGTCACATATCTTCTACCAGATCTGACCGCATCAACTGCAGTCCTGCCTCAGTGAACAGAGTTCAGGTCAGTTGATAACCAGATGGTGTTACACAGGCAGGTTTTCCGAGCATATCGTAGGCCCACGTCACACACATAGACTGCACTGGATAGTATGCAAAAGCTGCCTTTTTTGCCCTGGGATGTATCTCATAATACTAGTCATCCTTCAAGAGAACAAGAAGAAACCTGCCCACTGACTCTATCCAGACTATCCAGAGTAAAAAAAAACCAAAAGGACAAACTCAGTTCCAGAGCTACAATGAGACTGCATTTCTCTTTGCAGCTCTGAAACAAAGTCACAGGTAAGTCTCAAACGTTGCTGGTCAACCCAGTTCATTAGCACTCCATTGAGGACCATCATTCACACTGGCTGCTTTGCACAGTGTTCTCGACAACCTGTCTGGCACTAAGGCTCTATTTCCAATAAATGCAATGTATCCCTGCAGTGGCTGCTTGGAAAATATGCTCGGTGTAGGCCGAACGCATTCCTGTTCTGTTTGTTCTCTCATGCTCTCCGAACATGTTTCTGATAGCTTTTCAAACCACTTCAGATGTGATGTCTGGCTGAGGCCCTTTGAAGTGAATGAAAACCAAACTACCTATTGGCCTTAAGGGGATAGTTCATCCAAAAATGGAACAAAATACACTTAGAGCACATCACATATGGTAGCTTGCATGTTTACAGTTTACCATATGTGATGTGGTTTTAGATATATGTGTTATATGTGAATAACAGCCTAAATGTAATCTGTTCATCATAAAAAAGTGATTATATATCTTGACAAGATTCATATGGATTCATGTTTTATGCCTTTTATGACATAATTGGATCTTCTAAGTTTTGGATACCATGGAGAGACAGAACCCACTCGGGTGTCATTAAAAATATCTTCGTTTGTGTTTTGAAGATTAAACCCTTTGGGTTTGGAACAACATGATTTTTTTTTTTTTTTTGGGTTAACTATCCCTTTAAGAAAGGATCTTGAAAGGACATACAATTACAAATGTGTTCTATTATGAGAAACTTTTGTATGTGTTGCCTACTGTCAACCCTGGCTATGCATTTTAGATTTCAGCGTTTTGTAATCGAAGGATTCTCTTGCGTAAAAGTGACATAATATTCAGACTGATCTCATGAAATGGCGTATGTATGACACGCCAATTCGTATTTCCATTTTTGGCGTGCTATCAACACGCATAATCGCTTTTCAGCGTGTTTATCAACGCCTTTGACTTTACGTTATATTACTGTATTATGTACATATAAATATATGACCTACCCCAACCCCGTCCCTAAACCTACCCGTCACTGGGGTTAATACCATTTATGAGTCTTCTCCTACCATCCTAGGAAAAGAAATATCGCTCCACAGATGTAGAATATAGATTTTGCTTCGTTTCGCTCGGACATTTAACGGCGTACACATACACGCGGAATCACTCGGACGTTTAATGGCGTAGACATACACGCAAAAGATTTCGGCGTGGACATACACGCGGATAGCTCAAAATGCGTATAGATAACACGCCACTTGAATTGAAAGTGGCGCCACTTGAATTGAAAGTGGCGTGTATGTTTACGCAAAGTCATGATGTCATGTTGTAATATTGTAATATTTATTTATACACACACACACACACACACACACACACACACACACACACACACACACACACACACACACACACACATTTTTAATATACTTCTTATGGACCAAAATTATAAGAACCATAATTATAATTATGTTTCAGAATAGCAAAACAAATTTGGCTGTTTATAATAAGACAGTGTGAAGGAGGTTGCATGACACACACTCGTTATAAGTGGTAGTTGAGCTCGGAAGACGGATCCATTTCAGTCACAGGGGTGTTCGTGCGCACAGCACATCTCAGAGCAACACTCTGCGCCATGACCGAGCGGGATATCCCAGCTTTCACACTGCTACCGACGACCACCGACCAGAAAGATTACAAACATAATTCTCTGCAAAAACTCTACTGCAGAAATGGAGGATACCATCTCCGGATCCAACCCAGCGGGACTGTGGACGCGAGTCGACAAGATAACGACGCTTACAGTTAGTATTTGTTTGAAGCTTACTGAGATTCTCTTGATTATTTCCTAACACAGAGCTAAAAGTTATCTTAAATATCTATGAAATAATGTTAAAAGCACTTGAAAACGTGTAATTTAGGCGCACATATGTAATACCTATGCAATATAAATGTTATAGGAGTATAGCATGCACTGTCTATAAATGTAATTCATTTCAAGGAAAATAATGGAAAATGCCACTTTATAAGAACCTGTGAATTGTAACAACTGTTACATGGTTACATATTGTTACCTTACCATATAGGTAAGAACAATCAACAGTATAAATGTGTTATGATTATTGTATGACAGCTCTTTTGAAGGTAAAAGCTGTAAAAGCAGGATTGGTGGCCATCAGAGGTCATGAGACTGGACTATTCCTGGCAATGGACAAATGTGGAAGACTTTATGGCACTGTAAGTTGTTAGTTATATAATTACATTTTGAGCAAATTCACGACTTTGATATAAGTTTAAAAATGAATATTTCTGTTCCTACAAATTAAATTGAACATATTAACACCTTAATCGTTCTTTAAACCGGAGCATGATGTTTAAACTTGTTAAATTCCTGAACTCTGATTCATTAAAATGATCTGTGAACTGTAACAGCTCTAATCTCTGATCTCTGTGTGTCAGGCCATGTTGAACGATGAGTGTTACTTCATTGAGAAGATAGAGGAGAACCACTACAACACATATCGTTCACAGAGGTATCAGGAGAACGGAGACTGGTACGTGGGGATCAGAAAGAATGGGCGGACAAAAAGCGGCTCCAAAACACACAAGGGCCAAAATGCGATCTACTTCCTGCCAATTCCAGTGGATGGCAGCATACAGTAATGTTTTGGCATGTCGAGGCTCTCAAAACACCCCTGGCACTATTAAGAATTATAAATTAAATAAGTAGATGAGAAGACAATGCCTAGTTATAAGCATATTATCTATATATAACCATTATATCTATATATGTCTATATAAAAATAAAACATTTATTTTTTATATTTATTTTAGATCATTTTGTCTGTACAGGTGAATGTAAAGAAAGTTGAAAAGAAATATTACTATTGTATTTTTTAAAACCAATACAAGTATTTTGTTATTATTGGAGCCTTTGATATAGAAATATCTTAATAATGTCTGATCCTTTCCTATGTAAATATACTGTATAGGCTAATAACTTTACTGTATATTTATGCTGTACAAAAGAATTGAAATATATCTTAAATGGCATAGCTTCACTGTGACTGTGAAAAACTTTCAATAGTGCAACAATAAATCATGTTTAACCATTTAACATCAAATAAAAGGCAATACAATTGATTTTGTGGTTAAAAACACATTAGAAACAAAAGGTTGTATTATTTTTTATATAATTGTGTGGCCAAAATTATATTCCCATGCTGTTGTCACATATTTAAATGCTTTAAAAAAAATTAGGCATTTAAATGCAAGAAGTCATTTAATTAGATACAGTTGTTAGGTGAAATTACACTTTTAAAGAACAAATCCAACTGTATTAGACAACTGAACAATAGATTTCATTCTGGACCTGTCAATTGCTCCTTTTGAGGAGTATTTGGTAATAACAGCACAAGTTTGGGAATTTTACTAAATATTTCTGCTTTGTGCGTCCCACCTTACAGTGGTTTGGGATCATTTCCACCAGCAATCGGTATGTATTTTAAGTAGTTTAAGGAGTTTGAGATCACAAAATGAACCAAGGGAAACAAAACTTTTCTTTGGCCAAGGGTAATGTTGTACATGATATTAATAAAAAAATGTGTATATGTATATATATATATACACTCACCGGCCACTTTATTAGGTACCCCATGCTAGTAACGGGTTGGACCCCCTTTTGCCTTCAGAACTGCCTCAATTCTTCGTGGCATAGATTCAACAAGGTGCTGGAAGCATTCCTCAGGGAGTTTGGTCCATATTGACATGATGGCATCACACAGTTGCCGCAGATTTGTCGGCTGCACATCCATGATGCGAATCTCCCGTTCCACCACATCCCAAAGATGCTCTATTGGGTTGAGATCTGGTGACTGTGGAGGCCATTTTAGTACAGTGAACTCATTGTCATGTTCAAGAAACCAATTTGAAATGATTAGAGCTTTGTGACATGGTGGAAGTAGCCATCAGAGGATGGGTACATGGTGGCCATAAAGGGATGGACATGGTCAGAAACAATGCTCAGGTAGGCCGTGGCATTTAAACGATGCCCAATTGGCACTAAGGGGCCTAAAGTGTGCCAGGAAAACATCCCCCACACCATTACACCACCACCACCAGCCTGAACAGTGGTAACAAGGCATGATGGTTCCATGTTCTCATTCTGTTTACGCCAAATTCTGACTCTACCATCTGAATGTCTCAACAGAAATCGAGACTCATCAGACCAGGCAACATTTTTCCAGTCTTCAACTGTTCAATTTTGGTGAGCTCTTGCAAATTGTAGCCTCTTTTTCCTATTTGTAGTGGAGATGAGTGGTACCCGGTGGAGTCTTCTGCTGTTGTAGCCCATCCGCCTCAAGGTTGTGCGTGTTGTGGCTTCACAAATGCTTTGCTGCATACCTCGGTTGTAACGAGTGGTTATTTCAGTCACTGTTGCCCTTCTATCAGCTCGAACCAGTCTGGCCATTCTCTTCTGACCTCTGGCATCAACAAGGCATTTCCGCCCACAGAACTGCCGCTCACTGGATGTTTTTTCTTTTTCGGACCATTCTCTGTAAACCCTAGAGATGGTTGTGCGTGAAAATCCCAGTAGATTAGCAGTTTCTGAAATACTCAGACCAGCCCTTCTGGCACCAACAATCATGCCACGTTCAAAGTCACTCAAATCAACTTTCTTCCCCATACTGATGCTCGGTTTGAACTGCAGGAGATTGTCTTGACCATGTCTACATGCCTAAATGCACTGAGTTGCCGCCATGTGATTGGCTGCTTAGAAATTAAGTGTTAACGAGCAGTTGGACAGGTGTACCTAATAAAGTGGCCGGTGAGTGTATATATATATATATATATATATATATATATATATATATATATATATATATATATATATATATATATATATATCCGTTTATCGTTTGATCTTTCATTATAAAAATTCACAAAATTGAAATTCTAACCTTTCATTGAAGTAAAACAATTGGAAGTGTGGGGAAACTCACGTTATGAAATAAATGTTTTTCTCCGATGCATGTTGGCAACGATTACTGGCACCCCTAGAAAATCGAATGAGTAAAATATCTCTGAAGTATGTATCCCCATTCAAAATTAAGCTTTTTTTTTTTGCACATCAGAGTAAATAGGAGCATGAAATTGTCCAGCCATGACTTCCCGTTTCACAGAAGTATAAATATGAGGAAACACAAAGTCCAAATTCTCTTAATCATCCATCACATTGAGTAAAACCAAAGAATATAGTTCAAAAGATTGTTGAGCATCACAAAATAGAAAGTGACTGTAAGAAAATAGATAAAGCATCCCCATTTCCATCAGTGCTATAATTAAGAAGTTCTAATCAACTAAAGATGTTACAAATCTGCCAGGAAGAGGACGTGTGTCTGTATGTACGTAATGCACTGTGAGGAGGAGAGTTTGAGTGGCCAAAGACTCTCCAAGGATCACAGATGGAGAATTGCAGACATTAGTTGAGTCTTGTGGTCAGAAAGCTTAATTTTTTTAACAAAAAGCACCTACATCACCACAAGTTGTTTGGGAGGGTTTTAAGAAAAATCTTCCTCGCTCATCCAAAAACAAACTCCAGCGAATTCAGTTGTCAGACACAGCTGGAACAGACACTGGACTGGATTATATGGCCAGATGAAACTTTAAAAAAGAGCTTTTTGGCAGATGTGTTTGGTGCAAACAGGGATAAAAGTACCCCATGCCCACGGTGAAATACACTGCTGGATCTTTAATGTTCTGGGCCTATTTTTTAGCTGGACATCTTGTTCAGATACATGGTATCACTGATCTCAGACAGCAACATAGTGTCGGCCCAGATCCGGCCCACATTGAATCCACATGAACCAGATGTGGCCCGGATCTGGGCCGACACTATGTTGCTGTCGCTAGCAAATACCAACAGATAAAAAATCAAAACCTGCTAGAAATCTTATAATGGGCCGTAGTTGGATCTTCCATCAAAACAAAACATCAAAATCAACACAATAATGTGTTACTGAGCACAAAATGAAGCTTCTGGCTTCCCAGTTCCCTGACAGAAAAAAGTTTGCTGCTTAAGTTGTTGTGGTGTTGATTCTCATTGTTTCTAGATTATTGTGCAGAGTGATCAGATGAATTAGAAATAATTGCAAAAAGCTGCCAAACAAAATGACCAGCTAACATCATTTCACTAATCATATCATCAGCACATGGGAAAGTGTAATGAGTAAAAGTCAGTGTCATTCTGATTGGATTATAAGAACAGACTGGTTGCTATATAAAGAGGGAAGAAGGGTCACCGTGATTTTGCCAAGTAAGACATGGTCCTGGATCAACATTCCTGTCCCAAAATGTAGTTCTTACCCAATCCCTACCCCTAAACCCAACCCTACCCATAACTTTCCCCTAAAATCAGAGAGTAATGAAAGGTGAATAACACTGATGTTTAAGTACTTCACCCTGGTTCTAAGCCTAAACTTGACATAACCTGTAAACTTGTCCCTCAAATCTGATTGGTTGATTGGAAAGTTGATCCAGGATCAACAAAGATGTTGAGCCAGGAACATGTGCACTTGGTGAATCACGTTCACCCACTGGGTCGTATCCGTGCATCGAGATGGTGTCTGGCTGTTCTCTGGGTGCAGAGAGGGGCTGGTGATGTGATCCCGTCGTGCTTGAGTACCTAGCCCAAATACTCCAACAGGCTCCTCTGTTCAGGGTGGAGGAGAAGACGCATTTGAGGCCATTTTGAAACTTTCCTTGTTGTGGGGGTGCGTTCTTGGACTGCTGTAATGAGCACACAACGCAGGAGAATAATACAAATAGTCTTTAATCTAAGATTGCACAAAACAAGCTGGGGAAGCAACCACTTTCCACAAATGAGAACGTACACAGAACAGGTGTGGGGAACTAATTAACAACCATAGAAACATACCAGTGGCGGGAAAATAAGAAACAAAGAAGATTGGAACTAGAATAAAATCAAAACAGAACCTATACACGTGACAACTGTAGTATCATGGTAGTGGGTTTTGTATGGGCAACCCCCCACCCCACCCCACACACCACCCCCCACACACACACCCAAATGAGTTACAATATAATGTAGATTTTATCAGGATAAATAGTTTTGAACACAACACAGAGTGTTCTTTCCCCAGCAGAGGGCAGTATGTATTTAATTAGCCACTTTTCAGTTGACTTGAGCTGAAAATGGCAGCACTCCACACATTTCAGAGTAACCTCAGAATATATTAGTGAAACTTTCTTGTAAGAGTTTCAGTGTAAATTATTTCCAGGTTGCTGACTGATATTTAGTATGGGCAAAAAAATCAAAAAACGGTACCTCACTACCTTTACGGAAGGACAGCTGAAGCAAATGGCCAATTGCAACAGTATTGGTTGGAAATGAGACCCCTTCTTTAAAAGTTGAAGAATTAAAAAAAGTCCAAGAACTGTTTTAATAATGCAAATCTGTGTGGTTAAATGACAAACACACACACACATTATCAAACAAACAGATGTACGATTGCATATCCACCCACACAAGCACAAGGGAGCTCTCTCTCTCTCTCTCTCTCTCTCTCTCTCTCTCTCTCTCTCTCTCTCTCTCTCTCTCTCTCTCTCTCTCTCTCTCTCTCTCTCTCTCTCTCTCTCTCTCTCTCTCACACACACACACACACACACACACAGCCCTGCACCCTGGCCTCCAGCCTTTGAGGCCATGGTTGGAGCAGGAAGGGAGCCATTC